ATCCTACCCGAGGTACCAATATCCAATCTTTTAATACCTGATAATTTATATATCCTAACCTACATTAAGATATAGAGGAAATTTAGTAAAACTAGATGAAAAAACTACAGTTGTGGTTGTGAGAATAAAACCCCGAGAAGTTTCATATATTTCGTGAATGTTGCTTGTGTCGGGTCCCTACATCTTAAGTACGAACAAGGCGATGTACATTGTTGCTCGAATGTAAACAAGCGAGAATACGTAGTACAACTCCTATCTTTTTCAAAGAATTGGAGGGGGAGACATATACTGGAAAACTGCGGATCTGCTCTTTGAATTTGGTAAGAACTTTGGAGGGATGGAATTATTGAACAGCATGTTTTGTTCTGTCTACTCACTTTTCATTTGGTCGGCAAGGCATCTGACTAACTGGGAGATGGACGCAAAGAAGGTTTGCGAGAGCGAAGACGCGCAAAGTCGGAGAGCGATGATGATCTCGAGCAAGTTGCTGCAATACAACGCAAAATCAAGACGCCCGTGATAACATCGGTGAAGGATGCGTGCCGTTGGATTGATTTACCGGTCGATAGGAAATCGGCAACCGTTTCTATTTCCATGTGCTTCCTGGAAGCAAAGAAGTTTCAACGCGGGTGGTTCCTAACGGTGGTGGACTACAAGCGTTCATCAAACTTTGCTGATGCGGAGAGATTGCTGGAAAGTCTTCCGTTTGTGCTACGCAAAAAAATGTTGCTGTCCGTGGTACTTTACGTTGTACCGTATAATTGCAAAAGCCTCCTGCTATACCTGATATTACTTTCAATGAAGGTTCGATTCTGCACTTTAAACATGTTACTGGGCTCAAGATCGACAAGGCTTCTGGTATTCCTAATGGGAACGTAAGCAGCATGGGTCGTGTCTCTGAAGAGTTGGTTGCTAGTAGCGATGACTCCGGTGAAGCTACCCGTGCGGTTGAAGCGTCAGATATCAAAGCGGCGGAACAAGCCTGGGACCCCAACAAATCCTCCCGAGCTAACGCGGAACAAATCTGCACTCTCAGTGGGATGGTCCAGGCTGTACAAGTCTCATGTATTGGAGAAACGGAAGCGAATTGTGCTCACGGTGACAATACCCAAGCTGCACAAACTTCGGTTACCGGGCGACTGAACCAAGGCAACGAACAGGCGAGAGTCATTGTGTCTGAGAACGAATGTATACCAGAGCTGATTTCCACCAATCACGTACCTCGCCCAGGGACGAAACGAAGCTCCACCGGAAACGGGAAGGAAAACCGCAAAATCAAACGCGCAAAATAATTG